AATTTCATTTGGAAGGGAATTATATTCAACTAAACCTCGTATGAATAGTGAGTTCATACTTTTTCTGGTATTAGCTCTATCCACATGAAAATTGTTTGCTGCACTTCTAGTACAGTATTCCTCATGATTAAACCTCATGATTAAACTTGATGAATTGTTTGAAATAAGTTGGCATCAAACCTTTGACAATTTTAAAAATGAAGATCATTGCTGAGATAGTCAACCTTTAGGTTACTGATTACCACTGTAAAGTCTCCAACATATCGGTTATTAGAGTATGTCTATTACATTTTAGAATTATTCTCATCCCATTTTTTTGAAGTTTCTGTAGAGAAGCTTTCCTGTTATTGTCTACTAGAAATAGTATTGTAGAACAATGGTCAAAATGTGGTTTAATGATACTATTAAAAACTGTCAATCTTGCTTTCAACGATATGTGAGCTGCTATTCTTGAGAAGAAGAAGAGTTTTTTAGAAATTTTTCTCTGTATTGATATAAAGTGTTCCTTATATGTTAAATTTTCATCCAATACAATCCCAAGGTATTTGAATTGTCTTACAATTTCAATTTTTATATTTTCTATAATTGAATTTATGTTATCTTCATCTATATTTTTTGTCCTATTGTAATTGGAAATGATCATAGCTTTTGTTTTTTGTACATTGAGTTTCAACGTATTTCCCTTCAAGTATTTTTCAAGGGCAATTAATTCTTCATTCATTTTTTGAACAGAGATCTCCACACAATTACCACTAACTGCCAACAGAGTATCATCTGCATAGAGATTAATAAATTCACAATCAACAGAGCAGTTGATGTCATTCATGTATAGTATAAATAGTAGAGGTCCAATTACACTACCTTGTGGGACACCTATATTTATCTGCTTTGTACTGAATACAAGATCGTAGTGTTAGGATCTGGGGGGTGTGGGAAAATCAGCTTTAACTTTTCAGTTCGTACAAGGTATATTCGTAAAAAAATATGACCCAACAATAGAAGATAGCTATAGGAAACAAGTAGAAATTGATGGACAACAATGTAGGTTGGACATTTTAGATACAGCAGGAACGGAACAATTTACAGCAATGCGAGATTTATATATGAAGAATGGTCAAGGAATCGTCTTGGTATATTCCATAACTGCACAATCAACATTCAATAATCTCCAAGATCTCAGAGAGTAGATTCTTAGAGTGAAGGATACAAATGATGTCCCGATGGTGTTGCTTGGAAATAAATGTGATTTGGAAGATGAAAGAGGTGTACATAAAGAACAGGGACAAAGTCTTTCACGCCAATTCAACTGTGACTTTATGGAGAGTTCTGGCAAAGCAAAAACTATGGTTAACGAAATATTCTATGACCTAGTTCGACAAATCAATAAGAAAACTCCGGACAAGGATCACAAGAACAAGAAGGGGACGATCAAGTGTGTGCTTCTGTGATTAAAATAATATCCCATGGAACCAAAAGTACATTCAAAGATTTAAAGACTATACGTAGTGTGAAAGAAGACAAGTGCAGACTAAGGGACTCTCTCTCTTGCAGTGAAGTTTTTTAAAACTCTGTATTGAATTGAGCTTGGTTACTTTCACCCCAATTCGAAATCACTTCTAGATCGTAATTAAGATATGCAACCTCCTGCTGCCGGTAAAGATGTGCCTCCGTAGCCGATGTTCTGGAATCCAAATGAAATGACGAAGTGTGCTGTCGTCAGCATAGCAATATAGTGGATTCTTGATTTTGTCCAATAAGCCGTTGATATACGATGAAAAGAGGGTTGGAGACAATATGGATCCCTGGGGAACACCAGCGTTGATGGTGAAATTATTCGAGAGATATCCATTAATAATAATAATAACTCATTGAACCCTTCATGATCACAAGTTGATATAGGATACTTCGACATTATACATACATAAAAATCTTTACAAAACGTGATATACAACAAATAAATACATGAAAGTGTCACACAAACACAAGGAAAAAAGAAAAAAAAAGTATATTAAATATTCATTCAATAAACTCTCATCGACTTAGATATTCAGCGGCATTGTAAAAACAACCGTAGATTGGGAATTTTTTCAGGGTATATTTGAAATTCATTTCTTTATTTTCCCTTTTTATGTAATCGGGACGATTATTAAAATTAGTTGAATGTTTTCCCAACCTAATGAAGTTACCATTTCTTGTTGGATATGTATGAAAATCTGAATTGCGGAGATGATTGCGTGAATGTTTTCTAAAATTCAGAATAATTTTGTATATACCGGGCTATTCAAATTCGTTTCTGTACATGGGGATCTCGTAAACGATAGGAGATAGAGTGTTGTTTAAAGTGTGGCAAAGTTGTGTATTTCAGAGACCTATTCAATGATGTGAAGAAATCGAATATAGCTCTTTTGGTTCTGGAGATATACAGGAAAAATAAAAAAATTCCAAATTATTGTTTTGCCTATATCTTCTTTATTCGCAGACATATTGGAAATCTGTCCACATTTTGCTATTGGCACTTGATGTGGGCTCTCAGAATATATCCATGAATCTTTTATACAGGGTGTCATCTGACTTGGGCCACCCCCATCTTTGAATTTTTAAATACGGACCTGTATTTTCTGTTGTAGTTTTTGGATCGTAGACCTTCACTTCATACTAAGAAATTAAATTCAATTTTATATTTCGGGTTGTTCCGATAATATTCGATTATAATTGTGTGAATTATTCCCTTTTGAATTACGGCCCTGGAAATTGGTTGACTGAGTTGAATAAAAACTTAATAGCAACTTTCACGTCTCCCTATGTATCGTAGAGTTTTTCGAGAGTTTTTTTTACATTTTTAGGTACCTATTCATATTTTTTCCATTGCTCTGAGCGTTTTCTACAATGAACTTCGAATAAGAAAACCTTTTATGATTATCTGAAACATATCTACAACAAAAATATATTGTATGTGTTTTGATGAGCAGAAAAAGAAATGATAGCAATGATAATATCCGAAACGAACACTATAATTGTAATGAAAATTGAAATGAAGTAATTTATATACACAAAAAAATTAATTGTGCAATAAATGTTCAAAATGGAGTCTTTCAATTTCGAGACATTTTTAAACTTGGTTTTTCGTATTATTTATTGCCCTTAATACACTAATTTGCTGCATTGTTGCGAAATCATTCAAAATCCTCAATCTCGAGTCTTCCATATTTTATATCTCTCTGCCAGCGTAAATCCTATTTTTCAATGTCCCCCATAGAAAATAGTCTAAAATAGTAAGATCTGGTGATCTTGCAGACCATCTTATTATCTTATTTTTCTCGAAATGGAAAGACTCCAAGAAAATAATTTGGGATCTTTTTTGGTTTTTCCTGTATATCTCCAGAACCAAAAGAGCTATAATCGATTACTTTACATCTTTGAATAGGACTCTAAAATACGCAACTTCGCCATGATTCAACCGACACTCTATCTCTTATCGTTTACGAGATCCTCATGTACAGAAACTAATTTGAATAGCCCTGTATATATGCAGGGTACAGGCAAAATTTTATTTCTGATAAAATGCGGTTCACAAGATTCCCTAGCATCTAATTTGTAAATCAAACGCAATACTCTTTTTTGGTCAACAAAAATGTTATTGTGGAGCAACCCCATACAGCGATATTGTATGAGATGTGAAAATAAATTACGGCATAATAAACATTCAAAAGCTGATCAGTACTGAGTGTGGATGAAAGTTGTCGTATAAAATAATAACCACAGTTCACTTTCTTTCTGACCTGACTCACAGCTGACTTCCAAGTCATGTTACTACCAACATAGGTACCAAGGAATTTAGTATTGTCTGACGAAATCAGATCACGGCTACTTAGTCCGACTCAAAAATCGGTAATTTTCCGCACAGTTCTGGAGTAGAACTATAAAAGTCTTACTGGAGTTTACAACCAAGGAGTTTTTGCGGCACCAGCTCATTGAGTTCCTCCGGGCTATCAGCATCTGCAGCAAGTGTTGTGTCGTCTGCATATAAAACTATTCGGTTTGTATTCACATGTTTTGGCATATCATTGATGAAAAGTAGGAACATCAGAGGTCCCAAAATGGATCCCTGACGGCCACTTGTAGGAAACGTTCTTTCATGAAGCCATACCCAAAAATGATCCAACAAGCCATAGCATCGAAGTTTGGCCAGCAAACCCTCATGATACACACGGTCAAAGACCTTAGAAATATCAAGCGCAACAGCTCTTGATTTGTTTTGCGTTTGCGTTATTCCAAATATGGGTGACATATGATAGAAGGTCGCCTGTTGGTCTTTGTTTCCGAAAGCCATATTGATGATTGCTCAAGATGTTGAAGCCTTGCAAATATTTGAGGATATGGTAGTTTACGACATTCTTCATGATTTTTGATATCAATGATAGTAAAGCGACTGGTTTATAGTTATTTGGAATTTTTTTGTCCTTTTTGGGAATAAGCTGAACGCGAGCAATTCTCCAACAAGAAAGAGAATCCCCTTTCTTGTAAGACAGGTTGAAAAGTCTGCAAAATACTGGGGCGAGTTCGCCTTGTTTATATTGAGCTGTTTCAAAATTCGCCTGACTAGACGCTGTCGAAAAGTAATTTCCAGCATTGTGGATTCTAGTGTGAGAATAGTGGGTGGTGTCTTTCCCAGAAAATCGACTGTGGAGTGGGACGCAAATTGTCCAGTTAGTAGATTTTCTTTTTCTATGGCTGTTATTGCGATTGAACCATCCGCTTTTGTTATTGGTGGAATTGTGGATTTTGTAAAGTGCTGACTATAGGATTCACCTATCTATTATTATTATTACCAATAAATATCCCCAATCGGAAGTACAAACAAATAATGTCAAATGATATTCACTGAAAAATATTTCTCTGTTAACATGGCGCGAAATGTATCTACGTAGACCATTCCGTCCCTGTCCACAACCTCCGGATTTGTCGGTAATGCATTTATTTTGATCTCGCTCTTGTTTCAGACTTGCCCGAGGGCAGTATCAACCAGCTCGAAGTGGCGGGATCAAAGACCGCCATTCTGGAGGCAGAGAGTTTGGCGGGCTGCCAGGTCCAGGCTCTAGTCTTGACCAATAACAGGCTGCAACATGTGGCTGACAGAGCGTTTAGGTGAGGAACTGTAAAATGCGATTTTATTTTAATTCATTGACGTACGAGGGAATGAAGAGGAGTTGTGAGTTTCGAGAAATGATGAGATGAAGTTTTATACAGTGTGTAAAAGCCAAATGGAATAATTTCGTTATTTCGGTTAGTGTACATATTTGAAAAAAATCCCGAAACACTTCGAATGTAAGTTATAATTCAACATTCTTCAACGTAAAAATATCACCCCTAGTTCCAACCCCCTTCGAATGACAGGTTCAACTCCAATTTTTTAAATAGGAAGTATAGGTTTGTGATATATCGTTTGAAAGGTCTCTTCATTCTCTATTCAAAAATGTTATCGCTTTTGAGTTTATTGCAACAATTAAAAAAAAATTAATCAAAATCATGTGGTCACCGAAATTCGATAAAATACACTCAAAAACTAAAATGTAACGCAAAACGTAATGAAATGTAGGATACAAAAAAGAACTATGGATGTTAACGAAATAGATGTTCAAAATGTTCACCGTGTACGTCTTGGTAACATCCTAATCACGAATAATAATAATAAAATAATAATATAAATTATCACCCGAAGACGATTGTGGATACTANGGCGGCACTTTATTGTCGAAATCATAAAAAAATATTCTCATGGCTATATCTGTTGATATAGGGTGTTTTTTGTGACTGTTAACTGTGTGAGTTTTCGAATTTTTGAGTTGTCATAACTTTGTTAATAATGAATATTTTGTCATGAAATTTTGGTCACGCTTATTTAGAGGCACTCTGAATCCAGTGGCGTAGTGATTTTTTCTCCAGGAACATTTTCTTCTGTTTAAAAAAATTTTTTAATTGTACTTTACCATATGAGGATTAGGCAGTGTTCGTCCCTACCGAACTACTAGCGCTGCTAGTGAGTGATTTTTCGTACTTCAGGAAAAAGGTTCATTGGATGATATTGTTATCCAACATGTACATCATTTGCTCACAAAAATAAGTTCTTCTATCAAAATCGTCTTCCATGAGCTACTGAGTAGGTATCTTAGGGATGCATTTTATTTTCTTTAAAAATGTTTACGTTGGATGTATGGCTAACATTGAATGTAGTGGATGCCTGTATACACGATGTATAAGGCTTATCCTCAAACTCAAGCATCACATCTAATTTGAGTTCATCACTCATTGCATTGGCAGCTGCTTTTTTATCTGCCCCACATGACCAAGCTCACGAAACTGCTTCTCTATTTTGCTTATTGTTCCTTGCGATATAGGCGGTAAATTAGAAAATTTCGGTAAATTTTCGTTTTGTGGACACCCGGCGATTTTGAAAAAATTTTTGACTGTGCTTACGTATTTTGATGCGTAGATTACGAATCCGAAAGAACAAAGCGGCGCTCTCCCTTATTTAAAAAGCTACGGCCCTTCAAAGTTCAGAAAAGGGCAACTTTTTCAGCCTTCTTTTTCACCAAATAAACTATTTAAAAACACAAGCATTTATTCACTAGGTCACCTCTACACCTTATTCCTCCTTCTTTGACACTTTTCACTTCAATAATCAACATTTTTATTATAAAAAACTCAATTTAAAAACGAATGCTTCTCCTGGTGACACTCTTATATTTGTAGGTTAGATACTAGTGACATTTCAGAAAAAAGCGGTTGGTATTTGTCGTCACCTACTATTTTAAATTTGTAGATTTGAATTTTTAGTTTGACGTGGGAGAAAAATACAAAATGAATTTGAACGAAATTCATAATTTAGTGAAAGTAAGAAATAATGTAATTCTATATTTGGTTCAAGTAGGAGTGTTTGCAGCAACAATACGTTGTACTAATTGCAATGAAGAGTGCAAATTAAATTATGACACTTTATGGGATAGATGCAATAGAAACCGGATTATGAAAATACCGAAGAAAAAATCTCAGTACATTTGTTGTAATTTTAAGAAAAGCGCCAAAAACCAATTTACGAGCTAAAGAATGAAGGCAAAAAACATTTGAATTACTTTAGGAATATTGACTGCATCAGTCGTACCAACCATATCATTAACCTTAAAAACGTAAAATACAGTGATATGTAACCAAAAAGCAGCTCCGTACATTTTTTAACATTTTTATAAGAAAAATGTTGACTATTGAAGTGGAAAGTGTTAGATATGTGATTAATATCATTTAGGTAAATAATAAAAAGCAATGGACCTAACACACTACCCTGGGGTATGCCACTCTCAATTATAAGTTCATCTGACAATTCATCTCCAAATTTAGCTATTTGTCTTCTGTTGAATAAGTAACTTTGAATCCAATCGAAAACAATCCCTGATATCCCATGATATTTTAATTTTTCAAGTAAAATATTTCGATCAATTGTTTCAAATGCTCTTTTAAGGTCGAGAAATGTCGCAACAATGTACTGATTTCTATCAATTGTATTTTTCCATTCAGTTATTAAATATTGTAGAGACGTTTCACATGAGTGTCTAGCTCTAAAACCTGATTGGTTGCCTATAAACAATTTATTGGTATGAAAGTACTGAATTAATTGGTTATATACAGACATTTCTAACACTTTTTCAAGAGTTGGTAGTATATTTAATGGTCTAAAATGTACAGCTTTAATTGAGTTAATTTTCAGTACAGGAACAACAGTGGAAATCTTAAATTGATCTGGAAACACACCGGTTCTAAGTGATGTGTTGATTAAATTTAATATTGCGTACCCATACCTTTCAAATGACATATCACAAACCTATACTTCCCATTCAAAAAATTGGAGGTTGTACCTGTCATTCGACGGGGGTTGAAGGTAGGGGTAGCATTTCTCTGTTGAAGTATGTCAAATTATAATTTAAATTTAACGTGTTTCGGGATTTTAATAAAATATGTACCGTAACCGATATAATGAATGTATTCAATTTGGCTTTTACACCCTGTACAAAACTGCTTTCTCAATTTTGTTGTTCGAAATAAAAAGAGATTCAAATATTTCAGCTCCCAGTGGAAGAGTCTCACTTCGCTGGACCTGAGCTATAATCAACTAGACAGCGTTCCTTTCGTCGCTCTCAAAGAATTGCGGAGTCTGCAGTGGATTAATTTGCACGGGTATGTCGACGCGGTTTGCGTTGCTAACAATAAGATGAGATTTTTCTTTTTCCACGTCCTTGTTGAGTCATACAAAAAGAAAAGCCCCAAATAAAGTTGTACGAATTTTTTTCTATCGTGAAGCAGTGGAACCACCTGCGTCTTCAGTCTAAACAAAATGTTATTAGAACAGGATCGATACCTTTTGAAACCAAAAAAAATAATAGTAGGATAAAACCTATCAGAGAAGGAAGGGAATGTGATAAAGATGGAAGAAAAAATAAATTACGGGCAATCTGAGTTCGGGAAGTAAGGAGGGGAGGGTTTATGAGGGTAAAAAATGATTTATTTCGATTTCCGGCAAAACTACGAGTCCTATGGAAAAAAGTTATATGGCAAAGTTGTAGATAATGAAAAGATCTACAACTTTTTCATTCAAAATTTTTTCACATAACCCCAAAATTTATGTGAAAAAAATAACCAAGTTTTTTGTTATTTTCAAGATTCACAATTTTTTCATATGACCTCAAATTTTTATGAAATTCGGTGAAAACTTACCTTTTGATGTAATACAGTGTAATTTATTTGATTTGAAATATTAATTTTTTCACCTTATTTTGACTTAATATCAAAAAAGCACCCTAATTGGAAAAGTTTGTCGAATCTAACGATGAAGAAATGCCATCAAAGCAACAAAAACTAATGGATAAGTGATTGTAATTCAAGATGAGGTATTTATAAATAACAAGAATAACGTTTTTTAAAATATTATAATTAATAACGTAATCAGAATGAAGTATCTGAATTCAATAGTACGATTTACATGTATACAGGGTGTAACTGAGGTGAAAGGAGGTGATTCCTCATCGAAGAAAAGATAGGATCTTTCATATAAAGAAACTTCATTGGAGCATCCCTCGTTAAGATACATCCTCTTAAAGGGGGTACATACAATTTGTATAACAATTTTTTTACAAGCCCTGAAAAATTTACAATATTGAAATTAACCTGACGTTTTGTACTACCAAAAAGACACTTAGCCAGTAATTTATTTGGTTTACCCCATGGTTGTGAGGGGTGGAAAACGCAACCCCTAAAATGTATTTCCATTGTAACTTTTTGTCTTATTATTTGTTTACCATTTGAAAATTTATTTCCGATAGCCTGTTTCATTCTAAACAAAAAATATCTCTCAGGTTTTTTGCCCAAAATAAACCAGTTCGCAGCAAAAAATTACTTTACGAACAACTACAGAGATACATCGTCATAAATGCGAACTAGATTTATTGTTATTTTGTAGTTAGTACCTGCATTAAACGATTGAAGGGTAATAAACAAAACTAATTTATTAATAACAAAACACACAACATGTAGAAATCATAATAAATGTTCAATGTGTACCTCCAGACATTACGCATGCGTCTAGACGTCGGCGCATTGCGCTACGTATTCGCTCAAATATTCCTGGAGTCTCTCTGATTACCCTGCACGCATCGATGATGCGGTTTCTTAAGTCCTCTATATCGCGAACAGGAGTAAGATAAACCAAATGCTGTAAATGGCCCCAAATAGAGAAATCGAGAGGATTGAGATCCGGGGATCGAGCGGGCCAGTTCTTTGGTCCTCCTCGACCTATCCACTAATTTGCATATTTTTAAGTTGAATGCTGACGTGCTACTTGACTAAAATGGGCGGGAGCCCCATCATGCATAAAAATCATCCCTTCTGACGCCCAAAGAAACTTCCTACAGCAGTACTGGATGCACTTCTCTCAAAAATTGAACGTATGCCTCACCATTTAATTGAGGAGGTAGAAAATGAGGCCCAATTAAATCATCCCCATTAACTCCGAGCCACACGTAAAGAAAACTGTTCTTGATGGTTGGTTTCGACAATAGCGTGAGAATTTTCATCAGTATGTGGTAAATATGAAAATTAATAATCTTGTCCCGAGAAAAACTACATTCGTCTGTGAATTCTATCGTCTTCAGTCACAATTTCTTCTGATCATTTCCAGCATCCAGTTGCAAAATTCAAGACGGTTCGGAAAGTCTCGCGGTAACAGTGCCTGTACTCGTTGCAGATGGTAAGGGTATAAGAGTTGTTCCTTTAAAATTCGACATATCGTCATATGATCAACATTTAGCTGGAAAGCAATCTTTCTAGTACTGGTAGTAGGTTGTTCTATCAAATTAAGTACTGCTTCCTCAAGCTGTGGTGTTCGTACTTCTCGATAGCGACCACAATCCTGCGTTCTTTTGTCGAATGAACCATATTCTCGTAATCATTGACGAAGTCGAGCAAATATTGTATGTGAAGGATGCTGCCGTTGAGGATACATTTCAGCATATCTTCTAGAAGCTTCTAACCCATTCCCTTGCGACAGACCGTAAACGTAATGCATATCAGTCATTTCCTCATTTGTGTATGCAATTTTAATAACAAGTGAATTATTGAAGTAACAAATTAAGAACAGAACAACAACCCACAATTAGTATCAATTCAATATCGAAAATTCACAAACTGACAGCGTCATACCAATTTAATTGTCACTGTCGCTAATAGCGACCTACTAGACAGATTAGTTTCGTATTTTCGCATTTATGACGATGTATCTCTGAAGTTGTTCGTAAAATAATTTTTTGCTGCAAACTAGTTTATTTTGGGCAAAAAAATCAAGAGACATTTTTTATTTAGAATGAAACAGGCTATCGGAAATACATTTTTAAATGGTAAACAAATAATGAGTTACATAGGAAATAAATTTTAGGGGTTGCGTTTTTCACCCTCACAACCATGGGCTAAACCAAATAAATTTCTGGCGATTGAAATTAACGTCAGGTTAATTTCAATATTGTAACTTCTTTAGTGCTTGTGAAAAAAATTGATATACAAATTTTATGTACCCCCTTCAAGGAGCTGTATCTTAACAAGGGATGCTCCAATGAAAACTTTTTATATGAAAGATCCTATCTTTTTTTCGATGAGAAATCACCTCCTTGAATGTTTTACATTTATTTAGTTACACCCTGTATTTATATTTTATGACATTTTCTATGACTTGAATCTACTTAGAATTTAATGAATAAACTTTTCAATTGGATAAAATTGCAACAATCACATTTTTTATGAAATTTCCCATAATGATAAAAAAAATTCGAATTCGAGTTTTTTTCGATTTTTTGCATTTTCTGAGAACGTTTACTATAATAATGTATATTTTTCTTACCCCATCAAAAAGTAGAAATTTCAACGGATAGAAAGCACACCGACTTTTTGAAAAAAGCTGATATTTCGATGCGAGAATTTTCAATTGAAAATTAGGGTTCTTTTTTGATATTAACTCAAAATAAGGTGAAAAAATTAATATTTTCAAGCAAATAAATCATAGTGTATTTGGGACATAGAAAGGTAAGTTTTCAGCAAATTTCGTAGATTTTTTTTAAGAAAAATAAAAAACCAAAAACTTGGTTCCTTGAATTTTTCACAAAAGTGAAGAAATTGTTAGTACAAAAGTTGTAGATCTTTTTATCACCTACAACTTTGCTATTCAACTTTTTTCTGTAGGACTTGTAGTTTTGCCGAAAATCGAGATGAACCATTCATTATCTACATCAACATCATTATTATTTTATTTCAACTGCAACTGTGGCAGTCTGCTTCAGTGGCGTGATCGAAGTATTATTTCTGATGTAACAATTGTTTCAGTTGCCTTCCATTTCATTTGCACATTCCGATTTACTTCAAAGCTGTAGGATAGAAAGTCAGTTTTTATGACAAATTTCAACACCCCGTATTTCAGAAAACGAAGCATGTGCGCACAGGTTTCGATAGAAAAAATCTGCAAAAAATTCATCAAATGATGGATTATACAATAATCTGATGTCTTCAGTTGAAGACTTTCCATATGAAACATTACAGTTGTACAAAAAACTTTGTGTGATATTTGTGTATCAATTGAATAGAACTGGCCGATACTTGATGAAAATCCATATTAAAAAACTAATCAATACAGTTCATTGTATGATTTTCACTAAAAGGGTTTTACAAAAACCTCGACACGTGTTTCGCTATACAATAGCTTCTTCAAGCATAACTGAGAGTTACTTCTAAATTACACCATTAGTCAGGGTGTTCCTTAAATACATGCTAATATTTAAGGAGGTAATTCTTAGACCCATTTTGAGGAAAAAACGTCCTATGGACGTATGTCCTAAACGCCTTAACTTTTGAGATACAGGGTGGCAAAGTTTTCAAAAATAATCAGTTTTTTAATAATAACTGAGATAATTTTGTAGACATCTTTGGCATATTTGGTACATATGTTCCATGCCTCAAGGCGCATTTTCT